GAAAAAGGTGTGGGTTTTTTTTCATGTTTAAAGAATGAGCATAAATAGAATCAAGGAAGAAAGTTAAACGTTGTCATTAATAGTGGCGAAGCTGACCCTGGTAAGGGTTGAGTCTCTAGATTTCTTCACAGGCCTGTGAGAATCAAAGAGACTGAAGATGGAAGCAGTTTCCACCTTCTCAGGCTGGGTGTGGAGAGAGGGGTAAGAAGAAACCCTGCAGCACTGAATGCCAGTTCTCAGAACAGGAGTGGAAATGAGGGTATGCCATCTGACAGAGCCAGTCGTGAGAGCAGCAGTCAGCCAATCCTTAAGAGGGAGATAAGGCCAATCCTTAAGAGGGAGATAAGAGATGACTTCTTTATATTAAGAAGAAAGATACTCTGCTAGCAGCCAAGACTTTGGAGAAAGGGCCCTAGGAGAACAGCTAGGCTCTGACAATCACGTGAGAACTGTTGTCCTGGGACTCTGGGAATGTGTGTGGGGGTGGGGGGTAAATGCACAGCCAGACTTCAGCTCTGGGCGGTCAGCCACAACCTGTTCACTACAGAGGAGGGATCAATCATGGAAAGTAGGCCTGGGGCTAAGGAGGGGAGGATATGGGGACGTTTGGTGCCCCAATTGCAGACTCCCCTCCCCCAGCCCTCTTTTCTTCCCTGCATGCCACCCAGAATAGCCCTGGCAGCTTTACTGGGTCAGGCTGCCAGCTCACACAGATCTGCTGCCCTGCCCACCCGTCTCTGTCCCCCGTCCTGGTTCCCAGGGCCTGCAGCCTTCACAGGGGCTCTTTGGCGAGATTGTTCCTTGTGTTCTGAGAAACACTAGTGCATTGCTGTGGAGTTGATTCTCACTCATGGTGACTCTATATGTTACAGAGTAAAACTGCCCCAGAGGGTTTTCCTGGCTGTAATCTTTATGGAAGCAGATTACTAGGCTTTACTTCCATTGGGTGGGTTCAAATTGCCAGCCATTAAGTTAGCAGCTGATCACAAACCTCTTATGCCATTTTTCTGAGCCTGGATCTCCCTGCCTGCCCTAGCTACACTTTAGGAGGTTGTAAAGCTCAAATGAGCTATGCAGACACACTTTATAAATGTGTAGCTGTTATGTCCTATTTTCCACTCCCTTCTTAGTGGGAGCAACCGGGCCTTTCTACATGCATTGTTGCAGAGTCCTATTCCTGCTGCCGCTAGCACCCTGCTGCCTCACATGACTAGCCATCCCACCTGCCAAGTCCTAGCTCATTGATTCAGACTCTGAACAGCAGAGAGCTGGGGCTTCTGCAGCCATATCCTTCCTTGTTTTCATTTACAAAATGGGTCAGCAGAGACACACTCCACACCCCCATGGAGCCCAGCACTTGTATATGCTTGAGGAAATGGACCATAAGTCTGTTGTGTCTCATCACCCCACCCTGCAGAAGGCAGACATTGTTCTGACGGCTCCTGCACAGCTTGTTCTACCATCCAAGGACAGAACTTCCTATCTGTAAATTATCCAGCTTGTTTTTTCTCTTCTGCTTCCCAACTGTCTGCCTTTTGGCTCTTCCGTCTCGTTGTTCGTTTGTATCTCTGCTTGAAACTAGCAAATTGAATTGAGCATATATAATAATCAGAACTGCCAGGTGTTGAACTTTTTACAGTGTGCTTATCTCATTATCTTTCTCTACTATCCTCTGTGACATGGATGATGGTCTTAGGAACAGGGGTATTAAGCCACTTCCCAAAGGAGTTCTGCTGTAGTGACATAGGTTAAGCACTGGATTGTTAACTGCCAGGTTGGCAGTTCAAACCTCAGAGACCCTATACAATGTCCCTATAAGTCTGAGCATGAATATAAGAAGTGACTCCTAGGCACTTAACAACAACAAGGTAACAAAACTTTAAGGGGCAAAGCCAGCATTCAAATTCAAGTCTGTATTTCTCCAAAACTTGTCTTCTTTTGTTATTAAAATTGGAAATAATATTGTTTACTTTGCTTTGTTTGTTAGTTTTAGATTATAAAAGTAATACATCACACTCATTCCCAATTGGCAAATGTAAATAAATATAACCACTTTGAAAACAATTTGACAATATCTAGTAAGGTTGAAAATATACATATCCTGCAACCTAACTGTTCTGTTCCTGTATATACTACCGGGAAATTGTTGAACGCACACATGAAGATATCCACATAGAAATGTTCACAGCAGTACTGTATATAATTGTTGTTGTTGTTGTTAAGTGCCGTCGAGTCGATTCCGACCCATAGCGACCCTGTACAGGGGTTTCCGAGGGTGTAAATCTTTACAGGAGTAGAAAGCCTTATCTTTCTCCTGCGGAGCAGCTGGTAGTTTCGAACTGCTGACCTTAAGGTTCGCAGCCCGATTCGTAACCACTACGCTAAGAAAAAAAAAGTTTTTGTTGTTAAGTGCCTTAGAGTCAATTCCAACTCATAGCGACTCTGTATACAGTAAACACTGGATTGCTCACTGCAAGGATCAAGGATTTGAACCATTGACCTTGGAGTTCGTGATCCAGTGCTTATCCCACAGCATTACACCAGGATTCAAAACAAATTTTTTTTAGTTACTAATGACAAATGCTATTTACCATCTGTTTGTTTGCTTTAGGATCATTTGCATATCTTCTTGGGTGAAATATGTATTCAAGTCCTTTACCCAACTTTTGATTGGATTGTTTTCCTTTATTGACTTGTGGGAGTTATTTATTTATCAGATATATGATTCCTAAATATTTCTTTAATCCTATATAAGTTGTCTCCATTTTCATGGTGAAGTCCTTAGATGCTAAAAAGTTCTAAATTTTTATGAAGTCCTATTTTTATCTGGAGTCCTGGTGTGGCACAGTGGGTTAATGCACTAGACTGCAAAATCAGTATGAACCACATGGTCAGTGGTTCAAGCACACCAGCCACTCCTTGGAAACCCTATACAGGTCACTATGAATCAGAAACAACTCAACAGCACTTAACAATATTTTTATCTAGTTTGTATCATGTTCATCTTGTTTTTTATGTCATCTCAAAATCCATTTTCAAAAAGTAGGCCCCAAAGCACTACATCTGTATTTTTTAAAAATAATTTTGTAGTTTTAATTTTACATTTAAATCTTTGATCCATTTTTATTTCATTTTCATATATGATATGAGACAGAGGTCCATCTCCATTCTTTTGTATGTGACAATCCAGTTGTCCCAGCACCATTCTTTGGAGAGAATGTTCTTTCCCCATTGAATGGACTTAGCTCCCTTGTCAAAAATCGATTGGTCGTAGATATAGAGGCTTACTTCTGGACTCTTAATTCTATTCCAATAGTCTATATATCCATTGTTATACCAGTACCAGACTGTTTTGATTTACTGTGCCTTTATAGTACAACTTGAAATTCCATATAAATTTGAGGATTGGTGTTTTCATTTCTGCAAAGAAGGCTGTTGGAAATTTTATAGAAATTGTATTAAATCTGTAGATCATTTTTAGTAGTATTGACATCTTAACAGTATTATGTTCTCTAATCCATGAATGTGGAATGGATTTAGTCAGATCTTTAATTTGTTTCAGCAATGTTTGGTAATTTCCAGTGTGCGAGTCTTTTTACCTCCCTGGTTAAGTTTGTTCCCAGCTATTTTAGCCCTTCAGATGTTATTATAAATGGAATGTTACCATGGTTTTGATGGTACTTAACAAGAACAACAATAACTAATAATATTGAGCATTTTTTATGTACTTATTGGCAATTTTTATATCTTTGGAGAAACATCTCTTCAGAACCTTTGCCCATTTTTAAATTGGGTCATTTGTCTTTTTATTGTTAATTTATTAGTTCTTTATATATTATGGACAAGTTCATTATCAGACATTATTTACAAATATTTTCTCACATTTTGGAGTTATAGTTTCAATTTCTTGGTGATGGTCTTTGAAGCACAAAGTCTTTAATTTTGATAGGGTTCATTTTATCTGTTTTTTTCTTTTGTTGCTTTTGCTTTTGAGATCATATCCTATTGCCTATTCGAAGGTCATAAAGATTTACTCTAGTATTTTCCTAAGAGTCTTGTATGTTTAGCTTTTAATATTCAGGTCTGTGAACCATTTTGAGTTACCTTTAATATATGATACAGCTTCATTCTTTCGTATGTAGCTACCCAGTTGTCAGGAACCCTGGTAGCATAGTGGTTAAGTGTTTGGCTGCTAACCAAAAGGTCAGTGTTTTGATCTCACCAACTGCTTTATGGTACAAAGATGAAGCAGTCTGGTTCCGTAAAGATTGTGGCCTAGGGGGCAATTCTACTCTATCCTATAGTGTTGCTATGAGTTGAAATTGGCTTGACAACTGTGAGTTTGGTTTTGGGTTTTGTCCAGTTGTCCAAGGACCATTTAATAATAAAAACTATTCTTTCCCAATTGAATTATCTTGGCATCTTTATATATATAAAAAAAAAATCAGTTGACCATAAATAGTTTATTAACTCAATTCTATTCCAGTGGTCTACTAGTCTGTCCTATACCTGTACCACAGTATCTTGTTTACTGTAACTTTGTAGTAAATTTTTCAATTGGAAAGGGTAAATTTTCCAATCTTGTTCTTTTTCAACTTTGTTTTGCCTATTCTTGGACCCTTGTATTTCAAGATTGAGTTTTTAGCCATTTTCTTATGCTGCTTCCCATGAAGGAAAACAAAAAGCAAAGTCAGCAATCAGCAGCAGTTCTGGGTATTGTGTGAAGTGAGTATATGAATCTGAAAGTTTAAATGAGATTGAATTACCTTTCTCCTTCTTTACTATGGAAAAAAATTAGATTATCAGAAGTAAGGAAATATGTGCCTTTCTGTGTCATTCCAGGTTTAGTTATCAGGTTGTGTAAGAGTAAGGAGAAGAAAGTCTCAGCCTCTGTGATCTGCAGGGCCTCCTGGTTACCTGAATGGTACTCAGTTCCTTGTGATATTATTTTATCTCTGGTTTTCAAGGAAATCCCTTCTAATATAGCTTCTTTCCTACAGCAATAACAGTCAAATGAAGAAGCGGCCAACCTCTGCAGTGGGCTACAAGAGGCCTATCAGCCAGTATGCTCGGGTTGCCATGGCAATGGGATCCCACCCCAGATACCGGGTAAAAAACTGGGACATGGCAGTGGGGAGAGAAGGCAACTCAAGGGAGGTGATGATCCCAAGCTCTTCTCCTCTAACTACTTCATCCCCCTCACTATGCTCAGTATTTACTGTCTGCCTCTGCTCATGTCTGATGTGATATACTCACCACAGGCTGAAAACATAATGTTCTTGGAGTTGGATGTGTCCCCTCCAGCTGTCTTTGAGATGGAATTCTCTCATGACCAAGATCAAGACCCACGTGCACTACATATGGAGAGGCTCATGCGGTTGGACAGCTTTCTCGAGAGACCTTCCACCTCTAAAGTCCGAAAGTCCAGATCTTGGTTAGTATCCTATGGTCAGGATGAACACTAGACTTAGGAGGGAGGAGAACCCGGTAGACTGGTTGAGGTTGGAGAGGGATGGCATTGTACCCAAACGGCTGGAGACAGGGTGGTAACTGGGGCTAAGAGCATGACGGGAAGGAAGACCTCACTTGTCTGCTTCCTGCACTTTCCTAACTCTATCTGCCCCCCTTCACCCACCTCATCCCCTCCCCCTACAGGTGTCAGAGTCCTCAGCGGCCCCCGTCCTCCACTACACATGCCTCACTGGCCCCTGCTTCTCTGCGCCCTACAGCAGTGCTAGACCATGAGTGACAGCTTTCGTGGTCAGACTGCCCATCTGAGAGACTATGGGAGCAAGGCAGTCCACCTTGGTTCATCTCATCTGCCGCCTGATGTGTGTGTGCGTGTGTGTGTGTGCATGTGCGTGTGTGTATGTGTGGAGGGGTGAGAATCAGACAGACAGTGTCTCTGTCTGCCCTTCTCAGCCTCCTTTATTTAATTCATGTTATTTATTCATGGAACTCAGTTAGTATCAGGGGAGATACCCTCAACTGTGCTGTCTGGGCCTGCAGTGGTCACTGCATAGCTTCCTTTTCTTCTGACTCTGGACCCCCAGTCAGACCTCAAGCTCCTCCCCTTGTCAGCTGCTCCACAAGTGCAGGCGGCCAGTACCTGAGAAAAAAGTACTTTTTCTACCTGCTCTGCTCCACAATTTCCATCTCCTTCTACACTGATGGTGAACAGGTCCTAAGCATTTTCTGGGACTAGAAAAATGCTGGTTTCCACTGAGGACCAAAGACAGTGGTCCTGATAGTGTTGTACCTGTGTGATCCACTCTGGGTCCCAGATAACCTCTTTTGGCCTCTCGGTACTTTTTCAAGGATTTAAATAACCTTACTGGTACAGCTCACGCTCTTCAGCGTTGGCAAGAACTCACTCCGGCTTCCCAAATTCTGCTTCCTCCCCACCTTCCCAACCCTAGGTGGGGAATTGCAGACCAACTAGTTGCTTCCTCCTCAAGACTTGCAGGAATCGGAACAGAAATTAAGACAAGCTGGCTGGCCATCAAGGAAAGTGTTTCTTGTGAGTCTCTTTGGGTCTCCAAGGCATCACTGTGGTCAACAAGCAATCAAGTCAACTTCCCATTTTTGAGATGACTGCTCCTTCCTGCTTTGATCTTTCTTCCCTGCAGCTGACTGCATTCCAGTTGACAGTAGGGGGGATCAGTGTCATTCTGCCCTTGGCTTGACAAAGGGAATGAAATCTGTTGCTTTTCCTCCTCATTAATGGCACAGGACAAAGAGACCCAGGCACAGTCTCGGCCAGTGTTGCCTGTCTTCCTTGTTTCTGAATCACATTTTGCCAGGAACACTATTTTGTTGAAAATAGACCCATTTTTTGTTCAGCAGTTCTGCAATTTGGTCCCTAGAACAGTACTCCTCACCTACCTTTGTGACATCTTAAGATGTCTCTAGGTATCCCAAGTGATAAGTAAGTTTCTATTCAAAACAAACAGAATTAATTTTCATTGACTTATAAGTACATATTCTGGTTGAGGGGGAAAGGGTGATCATAAAAGCAATCAAGATTTAGGGTTTCAAAATGCCAAAATAGTGGGAGCTTCCAAATCCTAGACTATGAGGAGTTCCATCTTTGGGGTGAAGGCATGAGACTGACAGGTTTATGTGAAATTTGATATGTGGGAGGTGGAGGTGGGGGCTGATTGCTCAGTTATTCTCTTTCCATTAGGAAATGAGTCCTTGAACAGTTCAAGTTCTGCTCTGAAGATCAGATCAGACTTTGGTTTGGTTTAAATTCAACAATGCTGTCATTTCTCCTGTCATTACTGGACTTGGTGGTTGTGCAACTCCATTGCCATTTGTTCCTGTCCTCCAAGGAAGTCACATTTTCCATCAGAGCCCAAGGGATTATTTGAGACTCAGGAGTCAGAGAAGAGGTGCGGCTATGGCTGGGATAGGAGGTGTGTATCAGATGCTCCAGGTGGCCTGGGCCCAGAGGGACCTCCATGGCTGCACTAAGCAGACCCTCCCACTGACCTCTGTCTCATTGTGGGTGAAGCAGCATGTGTTGCCCCATTCATCACTTGGACACGTTGACTGTACATTGTCTGGTCACTTGTTCTTCACAGTCTTATAGCACAATCTACCCGACTTCACCAACCCCAGTCTGAGGGCTGGGCCTGAGGTGTGGTCTGAGGAGGAGCTCCTGCCTGCGGTTTTGTGTATGTGGGTATGTGTGTGCGTGTTTGTGTGTGTGTTTACCTCCACAGGAGATACTCCACACTCAGTGTAAGTTATACTGGGAACAGGGCCGCCAGGGGTGGCTGGATCTCAGTCTCTCTGTCTTCCCCCTCCTTTTCCTTTTGATGTACCAGACATTTGATTGACACAGTACGGGCCTTGATTAGGACCAAATTTCCATGTCTGTTGCAGTGGTCTTTATTTTGAACAACAGTTAACAAGGCAGTGGCCCATTCTTGTCACTCTACGCATATGACTGTACCGGACATATGTAATATATAAATATATATATATATAAAACATTACCCTCTGTCTCCTTGGCTTAGGATGGAGACCTCTCTGTTGAGCTGAAATGCACCTTGGTGCTGCCAGCAGCCTGCAGGCCCCAGCCATGTTCAAATTAACACAGTTGACAATAAAGGAATGAGTATCGTTATGGACTTGCTTGCCTTCCTTCTCTTTCTTATTTTTTTCCTATCGTTTTCATTTTCTTGCTTCTTTTACTCATTTTTCCCATAGGGACTCATGAGTTTTTAGAACCCTAGCTGCAGTTATCAGCACCATGGAAGAGAACTAGCGTCTTAGTAGAAGAGTAGCTATCTGTTCATTAGGACCGAGGGGCAGATCCCAGGCTGTAGTCTGAAGTCTGTACCAGAGCTATGGCAGTATATGTGCATGTTCTAAGCCAGCAGCCCCCAACCAGTTAATTCTGATCTCTTAACACTGTGGGAAAAAGCACTGGACTGCAAGGTCTGTTTAAACCACAAGGTTGGCGATTCAAATTCACCAGCCACTCCTTAGGAAACTTATTCAGAGTCCCTATGAGTCGGAACCAACTCGATGGCACTAAACAACAACAGTAGGGTTCAGGAGTCCCTGGGTATCCCAAACAGTTAAGTGCTTGACTGCTAATCAAAAGGTTGGTGGTTTGAGTCCCTCCAAAGGTGCCTTGGAAGAAAGACCTGGTGATTACTTCTGAAAAATCAGCCATTGAAAACCGTATGGAGCACAGTCCTACTCTGACGCACATGGGGGGAATCAACTTGAGGGCAACTGATTTTTTGGTTGACACGTTTCAGAACTGCCTAGTTGGTATCCAGATAAACTGTCAACGTTATACTTTCCTCTTCCCCTCATTTATCATCCAAGAAGTAATTAAAGGAGAAAATATGCATGCAAAGAGTCTTGGTGTGACGCTGTAGATAAGCACTGGACTGCTAACTGAAGGGTTCACATTTATACAGGGTTGCTATGAGTCTGAACTGACTTAACACTTGACAGCAAAAACAACAAAAACAACACATGCAAATCACATCAGGAGTCCTTGGGTGGTATAAACAGTTTAAGTGCTTGGCTAATAGCCAAAAGGTCAGGGGTTCCAGTTCACCCAGAGGAGCCTCAAAAGAAAGGCCTAGAAATCTACTTTCCAACCCCCACCCCCACCCCACCCCACCCACACACACACACACACACACACAAAATCAGCCATTGAAAACACAATGAATGCAGCACAGTTCTACTCTGGTACACCTGAGTAGCTTTGAGTTGAGCTGGGTTAAAGCTTATCCGAGTAGATGTATCTAGCATATGGTGGGTGCTGAGTTAAAATCATTTAAAAGACTAGCTTCCTCTTATCCTCTCTCCCAAGGGTCTCTCTTCCCTCCTCTGGGTTCTAGCTCCCCGTAAAGTGGAAACCTTACAGAAAATGAAAGGGTTGTGGTTGGGTGCCGTTGAGTCAGTTCCCACTCATAGTGACCCTGAAACAGGTTTACATCCCAAGATGTAAATCTTTACAGGAACAGAATGCCTCATCTTTCTCCTGCAGAGTAGCTAGCAGTCCAACACATAACTCACTAAGCTACCAGAGCTCCCTAAATTAAAGGTGGTGGTGGTGTACCGTGGATTCCGTTCTGACTCATAGTGACCTTGTATAGGGTTTCAGAGACGCTAGTTGTTGCTAAACCGCAAACGGCTGTGCACCAGTACTGAGTCCCAGGGGAGCACTCAAATCAGCTGGTGGAAAAAAAGAAAAGAAAACAACCCAACTGCAGTCAGTCAGCTGTTTTTGCAGTAACAACTTCCTGGAGGGGCTCTGTGCCTCTGCCCCAGGCCTTAGCATTGGGCTATTTGAAAGGGATTTCTTAGATGTTGTGTTGTGTGCTTCACACATATATTCTGCAGGTCATCCTCCCCAGGTGGGAATTATCAACACTGGTTTATAGATGAGAGAGAACTTAATGAACTTGGCTAAAGACCTACCATAGTGATGACCCTGGATTTCCAGACTCTCAAGTCCGTATGGTTTTCCTGAGAACTACACTACCTGTCTAGCATGCCTGTACCTCAGGAAAACTGATAGGCACCCTCACATTTTACAAGCAGTGGAAGCTAGAGACTGAACAGCAGATTTACCTCAAGGTAAAGGGTTGAGATAAATAAAACCAACTCTTTAGATACTTAGCCTAGAGATCTTATACAAAAACATTCAAGAGTTCCCTGATAACAGCCAGAGGATAGGAACTCTCCCTTGGGTCTCTTCTGAAGCCAGTTTATTGATAAAACTGTCATGTTTCACTTCCTCCTTCGAGACCAGGCATCTGAGGCCAGGGTATGAGTTAGAACCCTGGGCCACAAGTAATGATTCACATACGTGGGACTGAGTAAATAGAGTCATGCCGTGAACTCTACGGGCAAAGACAACACAGGCCTCGAGAATTACCCAGTACCAGAAAGTCAACTCAAAAATGATTTCAACACATTTTCTGTGTAGGGCTTGAATTCTTCCCTCACGTACTCTAGTCCATGAGACAGAAAGTCTGGTCATAAGGCTTTATTCATATGATCCAGCCATCAGGAGAGACTTAACATTTCAATCTCAGTGCCAAAGTCATGGAAATGAGGCTCTGATTCAGCACTTTAGGTCACATTATAGATGAACAAGACCTCCGAGAGTCCTTCTGTTGCAACCTCATGTATTGGGGTGAAATAGAAAGACAAGTATTAGAAAAATGATGGGGTATGAGTGAGGGTGAAGTGCCCTCTAGGGAGCCA